ATGCACCATCACTTTTGGATGTGCCCAGATGGTGACATGTCGGACTGTGCACTGTATACAGCCACCAATGGCTATGTCCTCCCTTTCTTGGTGCTGTCTGTTGCTTGGTTGCTTGGTGTTGAATGGTCAATGTGGCTGCACAAATCGCCATACATCCCATCGGAGGGAGATGTTGGGTTCCCCAATTGCTGACTCCGTCGACTAAAAAAATGGTCAGAAAAAATTGGTCAGAATCTCGCTGCCTTGTCCAGAGGATGTCAATAAACAACGCGCCAATTTGTGGCATCCCGCGATCCTGTCCGATGAACGGCAAGGAGCAGCCAGTTTCGCACGGTTTTGGCCCCCGTGTACAGACTATCCCAAGTCGCTTCAAACACCGCACAACAGTCATACGACATCAGCCATTCACATAAGCGCACAATGCGTGTCAGACATGTGACAAGCCAGTGAGGCTGTTGCCGTTTGCCTCGAGCCACTGCTTACCAGCTCAAGCTGAACCCCCACCTCCGCTCTGTGCTGATGCAAACAGGTCCTGAAGTTTGCACACTGTACGCCGCCAGTGTAATTTTCCAATTTGGAATTCCCCTGAACAGCTGAGGCTTTGAATTAACGTCATGTGCTCAATATACGCAAAATGCCTGTGTTTTTTGAGTTCAATGTTAGCGTTTTTCCTGTTGTTGGCTGGCGTCTTAACGACCATTTGCACGAATCACTGTTAGGTATAAAGAGAGAACGCCCCGCGCAGCTGACACGCGTCCATTCGGTGTACTCCAACCCCTCCCTGACGCCAACGCACCCCTCTCCAAGCCCCTCGCCCCACATATCCGCGGGGGACTTGTCAGCGGACCCGCTGGTGATACCTGACCCCCTGATGCCCATTGGCAGCCGCGGGGTGGCAGGCCTGCGGCTGGAAGACACCCCCATATCTGAGGACGTGCTGTTCCAAGTCAAGCCGCCGCAGGGCATGAGCCATTCCGCAAAATCGCCGCAGGTGAGCCACGCACGCAGCACATTGAAATGTGTTGGCGTTGAGAATGTTGCGTGCACTTGCAATTGCACGGGTGTGTTGAGATGTGCTGTGCACTTCCGACGACGTGTCAGATGTTGGAACGACCCCTCCCGGCAAAATGGCGCTGCAGCCTTGTCCACTTTGCAGTGCTATGCAAGCCGCCGACAGCGAGACTGCATCGGAGGAAGGATATGTGTCGGTGTGCGTCGGGTCGAAGAACAGAAGTTTCACGACGCAATTGCTGCCGATGAAAGAGTATCCAACATTCTCCGTTACGCTTCTCCGCTTCAAATTCAACAACATTGTACCAAGTCCGCATGGATGGGTATTTCTCGCTCCAGCGAGTGTACTCCATGCCTCCACCGCATGCGCCATTACAAGATCTGAAATCAACACCCCACATGCCCTGCTCCGTTGTCCCAGCCGTTCTGGCCTCTCACCTGTCGCTCCATCCACCGTGTGGTGGACACAGCATTCCCTGTGAACTTGAGTGATAATTCTTGCGAGACAGCAATATGTTGACAACATTTAGTCGCTATGATCATCGCCACTGTTCACGCTGCGCAGGGCTGTACGAATATACACTGCGCAACGAATGGGCACGGTAGCGTCGCCAGCCCATAAACAATGTTTCAGTGCCACCCTTGCCACGGAGAAGACAGAACGCATCGCTTTTCATTGTTACTTCCCCAACGTACATTGGCGGAAACTGACCACTGTACAAAATTTCACACCGTGCTATACAGCTCAAAATAGTGCACTGGTGGTTGAAAGCGTGCTGTGCCACGGCCGAGTTGTACGACATTATTAACCTTGCATTTGGCGGTATTTACGCCGTGACATGCGACCGCAATGGCAAACGAGTGCTTTGCGTTCCAACAGGCACCGGGCCGCCTGTTGACACACGAGGACATCAGCGAGAGGCTGGAGGGCCGCCAGGCCGAGCTGTTCTGGCCGGACGACAACCTGTGGTACCTGATGCAGATTCACAGGGTGGACGTGCAGGCCCACTCCGCCCAGATCATCTACACCACGGGAGAGACGGAGATCCTGAACCTGGACGAAATCGTGCAGGAGGGCCACATGTCGCTCATCACGCTAGACGCAAGGTGATTCGGGAGGGGGTCGGCTAGGGGGGCCAGTTGAGGGATGTGGGACGGCCGGCCGCCAACTGTGAGTTGCTGGGGCGCTGTGTTTGCGCTGGAAATGTGCACGCGGTCGAAGCAGCTTGGCCGGGCAGTTTCGAAGCGACGCAGAGGGGAATTTCGATTTCGATGGCAAGCAACGAGACAGTTCAAAACTGCTCCTTGGCGAATCCCCGCATGAAGAGCTCCGGGACTGAGCCTGGGGAAAGGCGGGGTGAGAGGTGCCGAAGGAGACCGCCCAAGGAGGTGTAGAGGTGTTGCTCCGGGCTGTGGAGCGGGCAGGCCAGCGACGGGTGCGTCTGATAATCTGGCATTAGCATCATGTGGGCACCAGTTGCTCGAACCGGAGGCTGACAGAGACTTGCTGGGCGCCCATGCAACTTAACTACTGGCAGTGAAGTCGGCATGATGCGCTTCAGTGCTATCCAGTCTTCTTGAGCGACAAGACTGCTTGGGCACTTACATGTAGTCAGGCAAGGGATTTGGGGTGGAAAGTTTTAGCGCTTTTACATGTTAGGTTCGAAAGCGCAGTCAGAGCTTGGGGGCGGATCGTGTGCCGCAAATATCTTAATTAGGAAGCACCAAGGGGGTTGGGGGGTGGACAAGGTATTGTTGTTACAGATGGAGGCCTGGGCAGCGCTGCAGGCTCCATACATGGGTGGCGTGAGCGGAGTGCGATGGACGTGCTGCCCATCTGACTTGTTGCCAGATTGGGTGGGGTGTGGGCAGGGAAAGGGACGGTGAGCGCAGGCAGTGGGGGCGGGATGTGGCTGTAGACGATTCTCAACACACCTCCGTGGTGCTGTTGGTTTTGGTTAAAAATGCTGGGCTTTGACGCACTCCACGCCCGTGCCACTGTGATGCTTGGATGGCTGGGGCGCTTTTGTTGGGTGCTTCCAAGCAGCTGGTGCTGTCAGTGACAGAGTTCGCAGGACAGAGGCGCGGTAGTGGCACAGACGACGTTGCAATTTTGGTTGTGTCGACTTGGTAATGCAGGACTGCCTGTTGCTGTCTGTTGCGCTGCTGTGCGATGGATGCGGGGCGTCCCAGTGGTTCAGGAAGGGTACAGACGGGGCCAGGCAATGTGGACCAGGCAATGTGGGCCAGACAACGTGAATCAATGGTTGATTTTATTCATCCGTACACAACGCAGGCATGCAGCTGGCCCGGCCTAATTTTGCAGTGCCCTCGCCCGCCCCCCCCAAATTGGTGGTGCGGACTGGCAGAGGACAGTTGATTGCATTTCTGGGAGAGCGCCACGGCATCAATGCGGTGGTGGCGGGCACTTAATCTCCCACTTGCTTGAGCGAGCCAGTGCTGTTCGACCCAAAATTTGGATTCCAAGTGTTCTTATAGAAGAAAAGGATGGTCTGCACGATTGAAATGGGCGATCATCGCCTTTGCTGGCAAACAGAAGTGAAGTAGGGCCGAAACCCCATCGAACGAACATGATATGGAGGTTTTTTCTGCGGTTGGCCACCGTTCACCAACATGGGTATCAGGTGATAATCCTACAAGGCAAAGAATGTGTTGTGCAATGCACATTCCTGTTCTGAGCAAACCCGATGACATCCTACCTCAATCGTTGCACACATTGTGGGAGAGCCTTGCAGTGCAGTGAAAGGATGTTTCCAATAGAGCATCCACCCGAGGAGAAGCTGCAACGATGCGGCATCAACAATGGAATACGACATCCAACACCTCAGCTTCTGGCGTGTTGCCAGTTACTGAGCACTTCATGAATGCATCAAGCACATGTTCTGATACTGGATGAATTCGGGGATGAGCCCACAATTTACTCTCCTCGCCATTAAATGCAATCCAGTTGTGTGGCAGGATCTGTATCTATTCTGCAACAGAGTCATCACCACAAGGCTATCCAGGCGAGAAATTGCATGTTGCACTGTCTTTCCAGAGATAGCCCTCCAACCACGATCCAATTCCTGAAACGTCAAGTAAATGCATGGACAAAGCAGTGCTCCTTTGATATGTACCGGAACGACACACAAGCCTCCCAAGCGAAACGCAAATGGCTTTCCGATGAGTTTCAATCCAGTCAGTGCACAAGTGAGGTGGAACACTCAGGGAAAGAAGGGGCAACACAATTGCCACCAGGGCTCAGTCCATTGTGCAAATGGCTGCCCGTTTATTCGTACACCATACTGTCAATTTACAATTCGTTAATGTCCCTGAAATTCGGGCAAACTTTTTCAACAAATGTTCAGATTTGCTGTGTGTCAGTTCCCTCCCTGGTAATCTCTCCATTTTTCAGCTGCGGTATGTTCTCTGGGGCTGCACAGGATGGGCCCTGCATTAAAACCCCAGCTTTCCTACAGCCTTTTCAATGCACAGGTCCAACGGAAAATCAAAATTCGGACCAGGCACCCTTGATGACATGTCCAACAATAAATAATTCAGATGCAGGGACCACTGCACATTGCCTACAGTCCCTGGCTGAATTGTCAACACCGAAGGCACCCACAAATAAAGAACTTACGGCCTTTGCCTTCCCTTCTAGGCACCACCCCCTAGCAGCACTGATGCCAGGCTGGCCACAGCAAATGCCAGGAAGGTCACACCGCCCAGCACCTTCACTACCCGCTCTGATATGTATTGTGCTGCCCATGAAAACGCCAAAACGGCAATCGCTGTGGCTGCTGCATGGCCCAGTGTTGCACCGGTCACAACTGCCAGGGGATTCCTTGTGGCCCCCATAGCGATGGTAGCCAGCATAGATCTGTCCCCCCACTCCGCCACAAAGATTAGAGAGGCAACCTGCAGGAAAGAAGTATGGATGGCTTGATATCACACAAGGGAGATTTCGTATACGAGCCAGACAGCAGAATGCTTTGCAGTGCAGAGGCGGTGCTTGGCATTTTTGACAAATGCAACTGCTAATCGTAACCACACACTATCCTATAGCACCGCAAATGGAAAACAACCCAACGTACTCTTGCCACCGGGAGTATTCTGATATGTGCTGTGTTCTCTGGATACTTTTAATACCTGATCTTTGCTTTGCTTGCGTTGTGTGCTCATTAGTATGCACTGTGGGACTCTACATCACCTTTCCACAGCATGAAACAAAATGCTCTTTTCCGTACATTTGCCTAGGAGGGGGTGCCCCTTGCATGACCTATACTCTTGGGGTGCAACAATTCTCACCTGCAGGAAGGCCTGCCATGCCGATCGTCCCCGGCCCACCGCGCCCGCCTCCTCCGCCCTGCTCACCGCCTCCCTCGCGTCCGCCAGCTCACCCTCCTCCCCCCCCTCCTCCCCCCCTCCAAACGCGTCCCGCAGCATCGACGCGCCGAACACCACCAGCAGCGCCACCACGAAGTACTCCCCCATCGGCAGGCTCGCCTTGAGGCCCTCGGGAATGGCCTCAAATGCCCGGCCGATACCCACAGACACAACTGACATCAACGCCAGCGCCGACAGAGAGCCCAGAAAGGCCACCCAGCGCCCCAGCTGCATGGCCAACAGCCCCGCTATGAAAAAAGTCTTGTCTCCGACCTCAGAAAAGAACACCAGCGACGTGGCCGCCAAAAACCCCGAGCTCCACATCCCGGACGCCTGGACCACTCCCTGGATCGACGACCAGGGGGGCAGCACGCCGACTGACGCCAGGCCGGCGCCGACGAGCAGCGGTGCGCCCAGCCATGCCGCCAACTTCCAAAACATCCTGCTCCTCGCCTCCCCGCTGGGCATTGGGGACCCGCCATCCGGATTTCCGCCCCGGTTCGCCACGCCATCAGCCACGGAGGCCGCTGACCGGGGCCCCTTCCTCAAAGGAAAGCTGCCCATGCCCGTCGGGCGTGATGCCGATGGCCAGCGAGGCAGGGATCGAGGGGGAGGGGCTGGGTGGGGCGTTGATGAGCATGATCTGGGCCGGGCAGCATCGCGGCCAGGCGCAGGGGAGGACGAGGGGCTGCGGGCATCGCAGCAGCAGCGGGCGGTGGGCGGGGGGACGCTGGGGTGGCCCACGCGCCAGGCTGCCTGGGGAGGCATGGTAGGCGCAAGCGGAGGGGTGCGGCGCGCTGGACGTTGGCCAATGAGCCGGGCCGTGTGGCTGGATGCGAGCGGGGATGGGATACGGGCAAATGGCACCAGAAGGGTGTTGTGCGTGCGGAGGACGGCTGCTGACACGACGCTTTTGTGGAGGCGTTCGGGGCTGTACGTTGTGCCGTATCGGCAACAGTGCATTGGGTTGAGTGAGTTCCATCTGAACTGCGAGCTCCAAGCGTTGACGGATAGCCATGAGAGAGGGGGTTACTAGGGAGGGGCGGGCAGAAGGGAGCGTTTCGAAAAAAAAGAAAAGGGTGACGGAGCAAGCCAAGCACGCCAAGCTGCACATGTGACGCCAGCCACAAGGGTACCCGATGGACGCACACAACTAGTTGTCATGGGAACGCACATGCATGCACAAAAGAAACACCTCTATGCTGTGTTTCACTTCACTTCTTAGCGCTGGAAACGAGTCCCAATGACACGGTGCTCTAAGTTTATCCTTGCCCATTGGCCTCCCATGCATGCAGCCCTGCTCATGCACAAACCCCATGACAAGCAGTATTGGCATCTTGCAAGGTTACCACGGCACCTATCCCCAAACCTCCATCAAGCATTAACTGGGCATGGTTGTGTGGTTGCCAGGCTGCATGTTGTATATTTAGTATATTAGGATGAAACATTGCAACTCGACTTTTACTAAACTTTTGGCTTTAAAATGATCAAGTCAGATCAGTGTTCACTAGTTTGCCTAGCATCCACCATTTGAATAATCAATGGCATCACAAACATGCTTCCTTTGATGTAGGAAAAACTCTATAAACTAGTTGTGCATCTTATGTTGCATTCATCATCATGCATTGTCCAACAATGTGCTGAGTGGCCCAATGTTGTGGGCTTGCCACTCTTAAAGGAGTACCTTCGCTTGGGCCTCTTTCAATCCTACTTTGCCATGGGCAGCAATGGGATACTTATCATTGTACCACTTGCCTAAGGGTGTGTATACATCCTTGACCTACTCCATGTCTTTTTTGCGCTTGATTTGTCTTCAGCATAGTTCATCATTGGGGCCATCTCTTGGGTAGTTTGGCATGTTGACACGCATGTCGTCCTCTGCACCGTGTAGATAAGAAACAAGTAGATATCTAAGGTATATGTATAATAGTGCTGAAAACACCTTCTTGTTCGTCTTCTTATTATGTTTTGGTAGTCTTTGACTTTTGCGCCGAATGGTGTGACACCCTTCTTTGTTGGATTGTGGCGGGTCATGATCTACACCCCTATATAATAGTATTGCAATAGGTGGCACTTTCTACATAACGGTGAAGTACTTCAGTAGTTTATTGGCTGCAATGATTACCACATATAGCAAGTATGGTAGATTCTGAGGGGGGAGGCGACTGAGAAACCAATAGATGAAAAAGCAAGAAAAAAGGCAAAATCATTCACTTGCTAGGAGTGGGTCTGAAAGGCGTCTCCTTTATATAGAGCATAGCCGATATTGTTGTATGTCCAGTCACGGGCGATGCCAGGGGGTTTGTGGGGCAGATTGCGGAGTGGTTGCATAGTGAGTAGGTGGGGCCCTTGGAGCGTTTATGGATACGCGTGGTGCATTTGCTAAAGCTAGCAAGGGTGCGGTTCCCAGGGATGGGGCTGAATGCTTGAATGTCGTAAGTTTGGAACATGCGCTGGCTGGTGGTGTCCACTTTTTGGCTGGTTTAGTGTCGAGGGTCAAGGGGGGATTGCGCACATGTTATTTGGCCCTTTTCTCCTAGTGATGGCCCACCAGAGGACCCGCCATTCAGGCCTGCGGGTTGTGATAATGACAAATGGTGGCAAGCCAAGGCTCTCACCATTCATGAAGCATGATCAACAACTAGTGCAGGCTTCTTTCCTTTAGGATAATAGATGCCTACAAAGGGCGCTTGGGATGCTGATGGGATGATTTCGTGGAACGTGGTTTTGGCCAAGGCAATGGAAAATGGATACATGGTGGTTTGGGACTAACACATCATGTTGGTTTTGTGTATTCTTGATATGTGCATGCGTATGCATGCAAACGTATCGGCATCTACCCTGTAATCTCTTCTTGCAAAATAAATTGGAGTGCGATTACTCAATAATTTAACAAGAGGCGCCTTGTGAAGTAGGTCACAATCCAATCACTGACTCATTCAATCCTTGTCCAATCACCGACTCTGCTATGCTCAGGCAAAATAGGAAGCTGGCGGCTACCTCATTGCCTTGTTCTGTAAAAAATGATGATGATGATGATGCAGTAGATTTGGGTGGAGTCCTTTGAATCGGAAATTGGCAAGCATCTGATGAAATGATTGATATCTAGATGTCAATCACCTTGTTACACCCTTGTCCTTACTGGGTCGGGACACTTTTTTGCCATACTTGGCTATCGCCACTAGGCCTCATGGCCTGGACCGTAACACACCTGGCAGACGACTCCAAGTAGAGCGGATGCCTATAAGATTTTTGATGGTCCCACTGTACGCTGTCCATGAGAACGACCGATCTCTTAATAATCAGATTCAACATTGAGGCTTTGGAGCACAATTCAAAGGACGCCCATAGAAAGTTGGCGTTACTTGAAGTATTATCTGAATTAAAAATTAGTGCGGCATGGGCCACATATAGGCACATTATGCCAAAATCCTAGAAAACGCCATGGTGCAGCTACCTGATTTGGGAGTGCAATCTGCAGCAGCCGGCTGAAAATTCACAACGTTATTCCCTTTGGAGATCGTGTAACTCAACATGTTGCAGGCTCCACTCAGGTTAATGGGCTATTCGCAGGTCTATCGGATGGAGAAATTGTGGGCAAATGGGGGGCTGCAGTTGTCCCAGTAGATGAAGAAGCAATGGCATTTGCATGTCCACACGACGCACATCAAGTTTTTTGTTCAACTGCAAATGAAATATATTCTATAAATAGGGGCTGAATTCATGTGACCGCTCCATAACATCAAAAACATCTGTTGTCCCTCAAGTACCTCAAGTGCCACTTCATACCATCAGATTGTTGCACAAATTCTGTGCAACCCCAAATCTCATTATACGACCACAAACTCGGTTCTTCTAAACCATTGGCGGCATAGTGCAATGCTCGTGCTTCCGAGTGTTTCCCGCTCAATTTCACAAGGCGGCTGCCACCAGGCACTTATTTCCACCTACGGATTCAAATCGTTAACAGCTGTCAGCACGTCCAACGGCAATCACTGCCAATATTACGTAGTATATTGCCGTATACGGCGCGTTCCTCATCAGCGCCCTTACGCCGTCCGAGTTCTTGCTTTATCTAGTTGGCAACCAAATTTCCCATCTCCGATTGAGCCACACGAAAAAGAAGTCTTCCGCAATTCTGCGATTCCATAGAAAGCTGTGTGGGATGCGCAAACTGGCCGTCCTCTGCTGGATGCCACGTTCTCACCTCACACCAAATAGTTCGGAGCCCTTGCCAATTTGGCTCCCATCAGCCATCGACGATTACGCCATTCCCTTGCCATGGGATAAAGCACATCACCCAGACAGCGGCTCCCACCAACACCACGCCTTTACCAAAGAATCTCCAGCGTGTGGCCAATAACGACCTGGCTTGGATCCGTCACTTTGCTCCTAGTCCTTTCGAAGATCTTTTGCCACGGCATATTGTACATCTTTCCGAGCACATAGACAGATTCTCCAGGATGTACGACGTGCAAGGACGGGCAGTCGGCCGACACGAGTTTATTCGCCTTCTCGCAAGTGATCCTGAGAGTGTGGCGCACAACCATGTGGCTGGGCGGCGTAACCCTCTCTTTGTTCGCGTCTAGGATGTCCTGCCAGTCGATGCCGTAAATGTCTCCCAGCATGTACACGGATTGCCCAGGCTGCACCAAATGGGAGCCAATGTATACCGGGGCGCCCCCACCAACTGGAGAGCCCCCGCCAGCCGGGGCAGGACCAGAAACGGTAGGAGTACTAGGTGTGGTTGGAAGATCGTAGGTGGCAGGAGGCTGGTAAGTGGGCGGAGGCTGGTAAATGGGAAGTGGTTCTTGGACAGGTCCAGGACCCCCATTGCATGGCGCCGGATTGCGCAACTGCTGGCCGACATATATGGCACTGGGTTCCAACAGCATACCCATGTTGGCGCCAAAGATTGCTGGCCATTCGACACCAAACTGTTGTCCGATCGACCACAGCGAGTCTCCCTCGACGACTGTGTAGCCTTGCGTGCAAGCCCCACTTCCTGTGGAAGTAGGCGTCGGGATGACAGGATTTGGGACAGTGAGAGCCTCTGAGTTGATAGCCGGAGGCACAGTGGGTCCTTGGCCAGCGCCTGTATGGCATGGCATTGGAATGCGAAACTGCTGGCCGACGTATATGGCACTCGGATCCGACAATGTATCTGCGTTGACATCAAAGATTTCTGGCCACTCGACGCCAAATTGATGCCTAATCGCCCACAGCGAGTCTCCGTCGACCACTGTGTAGTCTTAGAAGCTTGATTGGCTTCCTGAAGAGGGTGTCGCCGGGCCGACCGGACCTGAGACAGAGCGTTCTTGGCCGGCGCCTGTACCACATGGCGTTGGAATACGCAAATGTTGGCCGACGTATATGGCACTTGGTTCCTCCAGGGTGTCAGTGTTGGAGTCAAAGATTTCCGGCCATTCGACGCCAAATTGTTGGCCAATCGACCACAGCGAGTCTCC